CACGGTGAGACGCCATGAACGCCGCCGTGTTTACCTCGGCTGCTTTGTCTCTTCCTACCTCCTTCTGTAAAACTAGATCATCTAAGCTCTCTAGAAAGAAGGTAACTTTGGTTCTCTTCTCCTCTTGGGTTTTGGAGTTTAAGTACTAGTTGCTTGAATCTTTGCTTCGACTTGTCCTGAAAACTCTTAAAGTCCCAGGCTTTTTTAAACCCAAGTAGAGAATTGAGCATTTCTCTATTAAAATCAGTGTCTGATTGTCGTTTTCTTGATTTGGGTTTTGTAATGTTTCACAGTGGAGTTGGTGTTATCTAGAAAATGTCTGATTATTGAATGGTTTTTGTGTGTTTTAGGGAGTGAAAGGAGAGTTTAGGGTGTTTGCTGTGTTTAGAGAAGAAAGTGGATTAGTGGAGAAGAAGAGCCAGTGGGGACCTTTGTTCGATGTGGAGGATCCGAGAACTAAAGCTCCTCCTTATAAAGGCAAGTTCTTGGATGTAAATCAAGCTCTTGAAGTTGCTAGATTTGATATTCAATACCTAGATTGGCGTGCTCGCCAAGATTTGCTTACCATCATGCTTCTTCATGATAAGGTTTGTTTCTCATTTTCCTCTTAACTCATCTCCAATGTTGTTTAGTAAATGTCTGCCTCAAACTTCATCTACATCGATCTCTTTTGAGCTTGTTTCTTGGAATATCGTAAAGTTGTGTTAAACTACTCACTGATTCTGTAGCGTTGGTTGTTGTGGCTCTCGAGTCTTGAGTTTACGATTTGAACAGAGCTACAAAACTGCTTTTGCTCCAATTCATCAGACCAAGGAGACTTCTTAGCTCTTGTCTGCTACATTCAGCCTTAGGCTAGATACACTACACCTATAGCTACAAGTTGAACTGCTGAACTTATACAAAGCTTGTCAGTTCACTGATTGTATTGTCATAATCAGTTTTCAGTACCAAGATTTCTTTAAACATTTGATTGTAGCACTATTTTCAGTATTGGCGTGTCTTCTTCGGTGAATTATCAT